TGTTCAACAGTTGTGGTTGGGAAGCACTTATCAGTGCCAGAGTTTGTGTAACAGAGGATGCTGGCAGTAGTACGTCTGCAGTGAACTGAGGTGAGATTTTGGCATGACTTCTCAGTTCTTGCCTACAAGGAGACCCTCTTTGATGGATTTCCTAGCAGACATCAGAAGAAAACATTCATCACATTTTTTCAAAAATGCAATGAGAACATTGCCTTGTCTTCTGTATTTCACAAACAGAGCTTTATAATCCCTTCAGAGAATACTCCAAGTGAACTGGTAATAGAAATTGAAATACAAAATAGTGAGAGAATTGCCATCTGCAGAGTATCTGCAGAGGCATGGTGAGGGTGTTGTGCATAGGAAAATAATACTTTTTACCAGTGTCCCCCCATTTTAAATAAAGGCACTGTTGGAGTGCCTTAGATAAATGGAGTGCTATTTCCAACTGAACCAGTTACGCTTTCTAATAAGGCCCACAGTGGCTTCTGTCATGAATGTTAATGTCTTGGTAGTGCTAAAGGAGGATTTGAACTGCATTTGTGATTCCTTTTTTCCTTCTGTATCTGGACTTGCATTTTAGGGAAAAGTGCAATCCTATAATTAGAAAGTTAAGAATGAGTGAGGAGGCAAGTAGAGGTAATGATTGATTACATGTGAATATCAATAAATAGGATGGTTGAGACACTTTAAATGTGGCATCCTGATAACTTGCTTTTAGGTTAGAAACTTAGCCTCAGCCAGCCAAACTGTTGCCTCTCTTAGGAAATAATTACTGCTTTTGTCACAATAGCAGGTCCTGATAACTAAGTTGCTTTTGAAATTTTAATTTATTTTTTTTTTTACATTTACTTATAAATTAGCTTAGTTTGTATACTAATTAGTCCATACCTTGATGACTCCTTTAATGAGATTTTGGGATCTGTTGTAGTAAATTGAACTGCATAACTGTTTCCTGTGTATGCTACTTTTTTGTTTTCTGTTTGAAGTAATTGAATAACTTTGCTAATTGCTGCCAGGCTGAAGAAGGACCTAACCTGTTATTTATATCTAATATATTAATAATGTACCATGTGTTTTCTAGCCAAGAAATACTTAGGAGTGAGATGAGGGAGTTGTATAACTTTTTTTTATATTTAAAAATAGCTAGCAAATACAGAAATATTTATGGTTTGGCTCTAGATGAGGAGAGAATAATTTTCATCACTCGCTTTCCTTTCCTTACAGGGTATTAAATGGTAACCAGAAGCGGTTCAGAGTCGAGAATTTTTCCCATCTAATTTGTCTATAATAGGGTGTTTTCGGATCCAGCTTGGACCTAATCCTGTGTGCAGTAGTTCATTGTATGGTTTTTTTCCTAGTTCAACTAAAGCAGATGGAATTCTCATCAGAAGAATACAGCTCTCATGAGTTATATTTCTTCTCAATTGTGGAATTTTCCTATTAAAAAAATAATGAAGAGACCAAATCAGTTATTTTTATAATCATTGAGATGTTTTCATGTGTCTTATGATTTTAGAGAGATTTTAGTGTTCACTTTCTTCTCACCCCAGATCTTTGTGTAACCATGAGGTCTAAAGCATTTTCTTTAAGAAAGGGACCCAGGAGATTTTCATGAAGTTGCTGGTAAAGGTGAGGTAGGGCAAGGGAGTTGGGAAGTATCATAGGAATTGTGATAACTTGTAGGAACTAGCAACACTTCAGAGTTCCTCTTCGGCTTTCAATTGTGGTTCTTCCTGACACAGACTAAACCAGTCAGATCTTTTCTAGTCTAATATCATTAATGAAAATAGAAGTGGATATGACCTATTTTGCTCCTTATTTGGGAGTCTTTTCAAAGGCTTCTTTTTTGTTTTGCAGCAAGGATTCAATTGCCTTTTTTTTTCCTTGGGAATTCTGGCTTTGGAAATGGAAAGTGTTACCTGGGACAGGTTCCATTAGTATTAGAGGCTTCTTGCTCTCAGAACTGGCCTGTATTTTTTAGCTAATATCACCTTTAAAATGGGCAAATATAAAAGCCTTGTAGCAAAGCCTTAGGGTCTAACCTGATTTTGTTCAGAAAGGAGAATGAAATTTCTTTTTGTACCACCTAGAAAGGACATCTTTTCTTACACTGTAACTAATATCAGTGGAATGCAGCAACAGCAGTAATGGTTTACTTGAGAAGCAGCTTTAACAGATCCCAGCTGACAAGGAGCAGTTCTCTTTCTCCTTTCCTGACTCTTTCCAAAGGGTGATACATCTGGTCTTAAAACAAAAACTAACATTGATGTATGCTTTTTTCTTGTAAGATGAAAGGGAGAAAGGAAGAGGAGGGAGAGTGGAAGTAAAAGAAAGGAAGAAAAAAATTGCAGTCATGCATCTTGGCAAACAGCATTTAATTTTTCAGGAAGTCCAAAGAGATTTCAATGTATCCCTTCATCACCTTGGTCTTGGTTGTTAAGGAAGATGGAAGTGCTGAAAAATAATGCTTGATTTGTTTTGGTAGTTATTACTATTCATTCCGAAGGTGTAAAATGCTGATTAAAGAGGAATATTTCTGAGTTTATGGCAAACATTGACAATACATAATTTCTCTGGAAAGAAGAAAACTGCAATTTCATATTTCTCACTAAGACTATGGCAGTTTCTGGAATGACGATTTAAGTGCAATTGTTATGATTGCAGTAGGACAGTTCTACATTAAATACTTTATAGTTGCAAGAGAGTATAAAGACTGGTGGAAAAGATGTCAACAGTCAATGGATTTTTATATTTTTCTTCCCAAGACTATAGCAAATCACCAGCTGCTATTTGCTCCTACTTGTGTGTAAATATTATGTGAACATATGAACTCCAGTGTACAATGCATTAATTTTCTGTTTTTCCAGAAAGAATAGATTATATTTCCAGATGGGATATTATTACGTTCTAGCTCTTCTAGCTAGTCAGTGGTCCAGTGGTATCCTAGTTAGTCACTGACTAACAGAGTATTCTAATAAACAGCAGTTTAAATAAGCAAAACATGCTTATTTTAGGGACAAAAGCAGGAGCATGCAAACATCAAAGCAAAAACTTGCTTTTAAATAAATATGTGCCATAATGCACTTCTGAAACAATTACTGGGCAGAAAATATCTGTCAGTGATAAATTAACTGTAGGGATTCAGTTTTGTCTTACATTGCAAATGTGATTTTTGCCTCTATCTTAGTAATTTGGTAATGACTATAGGATTCTTTTCTTTTGAGAAATTTACAACTGCCTGTTTAGTCTTAACAAAGTAATTAGTCAGTTGCATATATTCAGTGAGGGCCACCAAAAAGACACCATTTCCTGAAGATAGCCACAGAGGGCAAATATTTTGCCCTAAATAACACACCTGTTACTGTAAACTCAATGGAGGGAAATTTTCTGACTTGGTAAGATGCTATAGTCAAAGATAGTTGTTAACTCTTAACTGCTTGGCATTGTGGGGGGAGAGCATCATTCCTACATGCTTTTGTGTTTTGACTAAAAGAGGGGAACAATTTTTCAAGAACTTTGATGATGCAGAATCACAACATGAGCTGTATTAGATTCTTTATGTTGCTTCTCTTTTGTGTTTGTACAGAATTTGCTAGTTCTTGGTAAGTTCTAGGAAAAATCTGATGCCTTCCCTGCAAAGCACATCATCAGAGTCTTAGGAAATTTATTTCTAATTTGTTGAGCTGTTCAGGTGTAAGCTTAACATGAAGACAAAGAGTTCATATGTCTATATGTAATTAATTTTATTTGTTTGTCACATACAAGGACAGAATTTATAAAAGTGGATGAAATAAGGGTAAGCAGAGGAAACTAACATCTTGTTAGCCCAATCATCTTTTCCAGTAGTGGCCATTTAATGCGAAATGCAGCTCATTCTGCCCCAATACATAGATTTTGAATGCAATGAAAGAAAAGCTACCCGTCAATGCTTCAGGTAATATTTTTAGCAGTAGCTCTTGAGGAGTTTTTTCAAGAAAAAAAGGTCAATGGTCTTTCACAAGTGAAAATCTTCATGCCCAAGTCAAGTTGTTTGGTTGTGTATGTTGAACTGTGGGCCAATGGAGAGTATCAGAATTGTAGATATTGAGGAAATATACCAGTGTGTAAATATTGGGAGACAGTGCTCAAGGGATACCTTGGTGGTGAGAGGCAGGCCTATTTCCCTATTATATTGTAGGCAAGAACGGTTATAGAAAGTTTTCACAAGAGCACCTTTTTCTGTGAGAAAAGTAGGTACTGCCACAACCTTTGTGGGTGACCTTTTGCATTAGGGCTAGACATATTTCCACTTACTTTCTTTTCTCCTAATATAGTAAACTTAAAAATTAAATACTTTGAATGGGAAATTATGAAGTAGGGCAGAAAGAAGGAATAAATTGATTTTGGTTTGTTAGCTGTATAATATGGAAAATCATGTTTTGACTGTAGCGAGATAAATATTTTCTAAACAAAGACAGATGCATATGGAGTCTGACTTTGCTGTAAAATTTAATGATGTGTATTTCTACTTTGCTGGAAGTATATAGATCCATTTTTACCACTGTCATCTTTAGTGTAATTTTTTTTTCATCCGTTTTTGGGTTGTTGAAGTCTATGGCCTAATGTTTCAAGGTCAGTTTTTCTCTGAGTATTCTATATTCTGAACTATTTTTTCAATGTGGACACATGCATTATAACAAAAACCATATTAAACAAGCATTCAAAAGAAAGGTGCGGAAAGGTGAAAGGAAGTAATGAAACATTGAAAATAGCATGTGCTTCACTCCTTCAATGTAAAATAATAAAGAAATTGATTTGAGTAACACCTGCAGTTATTATATGCTTTTACATAATCTAGCTACTTTGTGCACTTGAAGTCCGTATGTTCATTCAGGGATTGAAATGTGTCCAGTCCTTCAGATGAAGGGAAGAGAAAGAATATTTTATTTCAACACAAAGGGTGTTTTGGATTTTCACTCTCTTACTCTTCTGCTAATTTTTCCTTTTTCTTAATTTTATAGCTTCTGCCATCCCAGATAATGGAAGGAGATCCTGCTTAAAGCTTAAGGTGTTTGTGCGACCAGCAAGTAAGTTCTTCAGATTAAGTTTTTAAGGGTGGCTTTCTAGTGCCTTCTTTCTCTGTGGTCTAGTAAACAATTTTTTTTTTAATGTTGAATCTTGTATCTGTTCTGTACAAAGAGCAATGTTTGTGTTATGATTTTCATTGTATTTTCTTATCATTTTTCATAAAGCTTTGTTTGAATTACTTGGCAGTTGCTAGCTTGTGTCTTGAACTTTGTACAAATGGAAGACTTGTACTGGCATTTGGACAAATGCCATAGACTTTAAGATATGAATATGCTTAATTATGTATAGTAAATAGAGAGAAAAAAAGAGAGGAAAAAAGGAAAGTGGGGAGTATAAGGGTGTTTCACTAACATATTTGGCTGTTATCTCTATTTTTGTTATAGACAGCTGTATGAAAACTATAGGTGTTCATGATCGTGTTTTCGATGTTAACGACAAAGTAGAAAATTCATTAGAACCAGCAGGTTAGTATGCTTAGAGAATCTCTTTTAACAAATGCGTGTATCCCTCTGGTGCTTCAGTACTTTATTCCCTCTTCTCTCTGCATGCTTTGCATGGTAAAACTGCCCTGCTTTTGCACATTTCTAGCAGTGCTAATACTGCTTATGGTGTATTTCCTGTACCCGTGTTTAATGCAGGGAAGTAAAAATGTTGTTTTATTTGTTTTCTCGGGGTGACATGGTTCAGTGAAATTTGGCGTATGCCAGTGTAAAATTTCCACCAGTATCCTGGAGCCACTGGCCCACCCAAGCCAAAGGCTCAGCAGATTGGCAGCACACTCTATTTACTAATTGGGCCCAAAGTTTTAGAAATAAAGTCAATGGGCACACTTCATTTGTGTTATGTGGTTTCAAAAGACTTTCAGAAAAACAGGACCACTGCTTCTTGAATGCCAGTGCAGGACACAGGTATGCAACTAACTGAGTTTTTGTTTATAAAGAAGTTAGTCCTTTAGAATTATATATAGTTGTGTGTATACTTGGTTAGGCAAAGTATCATTTTACATATGTGCATGTACATACACTGACACACGCTGATGTATAGACAAAAGTATAAATACAAATTTCTCTCCTGCTTTTATTGAAGCAAATTGAAGTCTTGGGGGGCTTTTCTTACATTGCCTTAGGAATAATGATGCTCCTCATCTGCCCATTAACCTCCACCATCAGTCAAGCTAATATGTCTCCATGTGGAAAGTGCATGGGTATTGTTTGTGTGGCTGAAGCTTGTGACAGATAGAACTGTATATGTTTCTAGGGGTATGAGTAACCCGAACAACTTAAAAGGAGTTAAAATTGGGTAGGCGTGTAGGACAAGTATTTGCAACAGTGGTAGACCTGTTCATTTCATATGTACCTACACACTGCTCACATGTTGTATTAAAGCCTCCATAATTAAAATAAACAGTCAAATACACAATCATATCAGAAAATATTGCACATATATTGTTTAGTACATACCCTAAAGAACATATTACTGAGATTTTTTTCCTCTTATGCTATTTGAATATGAATAAAAACCATATTAACACATTTGCATATAAAACAACATGCTAATTTTTATTAAAAAAAAATTATATTTTTATTTTCTCTCTTTTATATGCAGATCCTTTAATTAAAATTCATTAGTTATACATAATGTAATAAAGCTTTTACAATTTAGCTGATTTAAACGATTTAACTATGGATAAACAGTAGAATTTATTACTTTTCTTTAAAATAATTTGCAGATCTTTCCTAAAAATTTGGAGTTTACAAATCAAAGATGTTGTTTAAGTAAATCTAAATGCAAGGCTATTGCACTTACATTGGCTATATTTATACGTTTATTAGCAGCATTCTTCTACAGAAGACATCAGGATGTTCTTTACTTATGAATTTGAAACTCAGTGCACTTTTTTATATTTTGTGATTTGGTGAACATGGCGTACTTATTGTGTCTGATAGCACTTGCAAAAGAGATCATCTGAGTAATACAGGCCTGATTTTAGTAAACTTGCTAAATTTTTGTTTCAGCAGTGCTTATCACTTCCTAGTGATTGGCTATAACTAGTTAACATTGTCACAAAAAGCACATCATTAGAAAGCAGCAGGCAAACCAGGCAAGCAAAATCAAACAAAGAGCATCCTGCAGTCTGGGATTAAATACTGTTTGTGTTACCAGGGGGAAATAATAACTTTAATGAGAAGGTTTGGTACCACAAAATTCCCACTCCTGATACCAATGTATATTTGTATTATTAATCAGGCCAGTCACCATTAGATAATCAGTCACTCTGAGATGTGCCAACTGCTGTCACATTTCTCTGTTGTTGGTCTGTTAGGTTTGCTGCTGCCTTGGAGTATCTTGTTGCATGTGTTCTGTGTCATGTACTAATTTGCATTTCTCTGACGAGCATCTTCTGCTCCTGTGCTCTCCCCTAGCCTGCCATGATCTTATTCCACAGTAGACAGAAGAATTGGAAGGCAGGAGGGTCATGTTCAGAGATTACTCACTGTCATCTTTCTTGTGAAAATCACTGTTTATATGATTTTTGAACCCTTGTAATTTCACTGGTCTTGTTAAGAAATTTACAGGAATCTAGTGATTGCACTTTCACAAGTAGTGGAAGTAGTTGGCTCTATTCCTATTCCTCCCCCTCTCTTTCTCCTTAATAATAAAAAAAGAAAAAATCCTTAAACAAAAATTGCAGCTGTGCATATCTGAAAGTTATACCTGAAGTATGTGATGTGTGATCAGAAAAAATCATGGCTGTCGAAATAATTTTTTCTGTATTGCTGGTATTTCCAGTGTTTAGTAGTGACCGTCTGGATTCTGTTCAGGAATCCTTTCCTCTTCATCCATTGTCTTCAGTGTTTTAAATGAGGCAAACCCTTTTCCTCAAGCCTTACAGGCTGTGCAGCTATGATTCTGGACCTCCAAAAAAACCAATATTTGTAAATGTGATTTTCATGACTGCAGATGAATAGTGTTCTAATATATGAGTGCAGAAACCTTGCAACAGCATTGAGAGAAAACCCAGATGATTTCTCAAAAGGGATGCCTTAATGTTACATGGAAATTAATTATTCTGTGAAGAATGGCTTTATAAAAATGGCATCATAGAGTGTCTCCGTTTTTTCATTTAAGAGAAGTAATCTTTTTAGCTTAGTGCTTTTTCACTGAGTTTTTCAGCAGTAGCCAGTGTTCCAGTTGTGGCAGTATCTGATAGTTAGAGAGAATGAGGATTTATTACTGCTATACACTAGTTCTGCCCTATTGTGTTTTAGTGCTGACTCACTGATGTAATTAGGCCAAAATTGTTGACATTCAGTGTTGCAAATTCAGACTTATTTGCAATTCTAGAGGCAGAAGGTTATACACATCATTCTCCTCTGTAATTTTAGTTCATCAGCAATGAGTAAATGTTTCTAAATTGGGAAGACCTAACTTTAAATATATGAAAGGAGGTACAACTGACAACACAGTGTATTTTTTCCCTGTAACTTTTAAAATATGTTTTAATTGAGTGAATTTTTTGAAGTATTGTTTTTTCATTGCAGTGTCGCCATAGTACAAGATTGTAACTCAGAAATGAAATGTGAAACAACTTTTGGTATTGACGACTACTGAAAGTAGCATTTTCAGAAGCCAGCATTCACTGATATTTTTAGAATCCTTTGGAATAATTCTGACGGAAAAATACTAGGGCCCAATATGCCTGGGAGGGTCTCCTTTCCATACATGGTGCAGAGCCATTCCATCCAGACTTTCCCACTGATCCCACAGAATGGGTAAGGTTGGAAAGGACCACTGGAGGCCATCTAATCCAACCCCCGTACACAAGCAAGTCCCCTAAAGCAAGGATTATGTCCAGATGGCTTTTGACTCTCTCCAGTGAGGAAGACTCCACACGTTTTTGGACGCTCTATTCCAGTGCAGTCACCACAAGTGAAGAAGTTCCTCCTCTTCAGGTGTAACTTTCTGTGCATCAGTTTCCACTATTGCCTGGCACCACCAAGAAGAGATGTCTCTTTCTTACAAACATGACCATATTTACAGCTAATCAGTGCTTGCTTTTCATACTTCTGCCTTGAGCAGCACTGAAACCTGTTGATAAGCCTTATGTGATTATAGCATCAATTAGTGCTGGAGAAAGTACACGTGATAAATTGCTAATTCAGTTTACTGTGCATCTTGCTGTGTAACTGAGCTGGGGCTGAAGAGCCTATTAACCTAAATTATGCTAAGTGCTCTCCTGATTTTGTGCTAGGTGTCAAGGGTATGAAAGGGAGGGAGCTTGCTTGTGGCTAAAGCCACATAAAAGGCTCCATGACAAAGCAGCATGGTGATCCCAGTGTCCTGACTCCTGCTTCCCTTAGTGCCACTAGCTGGAACTGCTCAGGTCTCACCCAATGTAATCCTGGCAGTGCAATTGTTTGAGATGAGAGCTATGAAACAGAAACATCATAGACACATTGACATCTTTTATAAAATAAGGAGCTTATTGCATTAAATAGGTAAGATACTATTAATTTTGCTGGAAACTTTGGTGTTTTAAAATAAACTTACAGATAGGTTTTGAGGCCAATTCACACTTACTAAAAAGGTTTGGCTTTTTCCTTTCATTTATTAATGAAAACAAGAGCTGAATTTTTATGTCAAGCTTCAGACTGATTGCTTTTTGAATAGCTAAGTTAGATAGCTTTAGATATGGAGGATATGGAGGACTTTGCAAAGAAAAATACCACTGCTATAAAAACACCAAAGTTGATTTGGACTTTGCCTACCTTTTCTCTCTTACAAGCTGTGGCTTTTAGGCTGATCTTAAGTTTGCAAAAACTAAACAGGGCTTTGCTGTGTATAATAAGTTTAATATTTGCTACCTTGTTTTTTTCTGCCACTAATGCATAAGCATGTTTTCCTAACTCAGCTGGTTCTTTTTTCATTAGTTCTAGCAGCATATATGTAAATCTTTATTTTGTGTGCCATGAAAGGTAGTGAGATTTTCCAGTTTGAGTATATATGCTATAAAATCGGCGACTGTCATGCGTTAGCCTTTAAATTTTTGTCCCAAGAAAGAAGGAATGATCTTACGTCTCCTGCTCGTCCCCAGATACAACATACTTCAGTGGCAATTTTGTGCATGGAAGGGGTGCCTGTGCTTGGGTTTATAGGCTGTCATTTCCAATTCAGGAGCTAAAATCTGTAACTGAATTAGGGGACTAACTGCAAAATTAATTCCGGGCACGTGCAACACTTTGGAGAATCAGGTGTTTTTATCTAGCTGCCTCCCAACTGATGTTGCTCTCTAATGAGACATCCAAAGCTACAGTCACAGTGTTTTACTGAAGAGGAATCTTTCATTCCTCAATCTGCTGAAATCAGACTTAGTTTCTGCTCCTCTGGTCTTCAGTGGGAGTTTTGCCAGTAAGAAATGCAGGACTTGGCCCCAAGTTGGTTACATAATGAGGTATTACACGCTTGTGAAAGTCAATGACAGCACAAGGTTCATTGGCCTATTTCATAAAGGCACTGGAATCTACTTACAGTTGTCGGCTCAGTGAGAGTTTATGAAGGATGCAAAATCTCATTGGAATGTATGCTTTCTGTTTGAACAGATGATACCGTACATGAGTCAGCCGAGCCATCCCGTGGCGAGAACGCAGCACAGACACCAAGGATACCCAGCCGGCTTTTGGCAACTCTATTGTTCCTCCTGGCAATGCTTTTGATATTATAGCACAGTATGCTCGGGCAACCTGTCACAGAAAATATCAGGGTCTTGGAACATCAAAGATCCACCTAACTGCTCATCCCAGGAAAGGGACTTTATTGTTTTTGCAGATGTCAAATTGTTATTTTTCCCTTTTCTTCTCCCTTTTAGCCTGAACTCAGCAAAAATTTGAAGGGGATAACTAGCTTCAGCACCCACCCCTACCTACTCTGTGACTTTCTTAACCCCTCCATATAAATAAAAGGACTCCAAATGAAAATGCCAAACTATAATAGTGACACTAGTGATTCTTATTTTCCTCTGCATTCTCCTTTAAGAAGTCACCTCTGTTAGCTCACTGTGTCATCTGTATGTGGACGAGAAAGTGTAGTGGCAGATGCAGTCAGTGAGGGATAAGGAAAGTGAGTGAAAACCTGGGAGAGTCTTTCTCTGTGATAGAATATTTATGCCTTCTCATTCAGCACTGTAAGATGGTCATGCAAGGCATTGTGTCACCATGTCAGGACTGGAGGGGAGATATTAAGAATAAACATAATATAACACCATTTCCTCCAGAAGTTTCTAAATGAACAGGCTTCTGAAAGGGGAAGGTGATGTTTCTTATAGGACTGTCTTGAAACATCTTTGACAGTAAAATTTTTGCTCACAAGTAGAAATGCTGTCTTTGGTGAGAGGAAAACGTTAGTATTTAGGAATGTTAGCACACAGCAGGCAAGGTCAGATTTAGGAAACTTCACTGGGGGTGTGAGTGCCTCTGTTATTTCGTTTTAAGGGGATAATGCACACCGGCTTATTTTATTTTAAAACAAATCACCGTGGTGCTAAAATTTTTTTCTTGAAATGCAGAGGCACTTTTGAGAATAAAGTGACCTTCCCCAGCACTGACTTAGTAGCTGATAGCCTTGGATGCTGCTCTGGGTGTTAATACATGCTAAAAGAGGACATCGGTGGCTAGAGGAAACGTGTTTGGAACACAGGATCTCCAGTGTTCTCTTGATTTGTCTCTCCTGTAAGTTCCTCAATCATGGGAATAAATCACCCGTAGAAGAAGCCAGGGCAGTCTAATAGCATTGTTTGGTGGGGGGAAAGAAAAGAAGTGTGGAATATGAATTCAATGTTGATTTTTTATCTTTTCCCCTTCCAGCACAGTTTCAAGAGTAGAGGAAACGTGTTTATCAGCTGGAGATAAACTAGATGGGCTCCCAAAGACTTAACAAAATATTTTTTTAAAAATCCACTAGAATAGAAAATACATTATTTAGATATACTTTATGCTGAGAGTGAGTATATATGCTTGTCCTATTTAAACATGTGAGAGAAGCGGTAACCCTTGATGCAATTAGGAAATGGGACTGTCTTGTTTGATGGAATTAGGAGTGACCCTGTTTAAGGAATTTGAGCCTTGGCTAGCAAAACTTTTAAAAGTAATTTGCCAGGAAGTGCAAGCCTTGGAGTATTTTTTGGCTTGGCTATTTTTTGCCATGAAATTTGGACTGCTAAGGATTATCAGCGAAATTTCAGACCCAGACTGAAACAGAGCTTTTCTGACAAAAACTGCAGTAAACAAAACATGGACCATATTCAAACAAAACAAAATTTTTCTATATTAATTATGAAGAAAAATTCTGATGTAACAAAATTGAGTGATGCCATTAGTGGACACCACTTCAAAGGCTTTTTATTTTTAAATGAAGAAGGGCCTTCCAGAAGTTGAAGCAGGAGAGGGGAAAATAAATTTGATATGCAAAGGGAGGTTTTATGAATGCTGAGCTATGACCTGGGCTTGCCTGATATCATACATGTTCATGAAGACAGGGCCTGTACTTACAGGAGGAATGCAGGAAATTTGCTCTAGTGTGAAGTGCATGGGATAAAGATACACAATCCAAACAGTGAGGGAAGTCATCATCTCATTACAGGCTGTCTGATACTTTGCTCTCTTTAGGGTGTATATACTTGATACACACATTAATAGTTTCTGTAGGTGGGAATTAAAAAGCTTTGGATGAGGTGAGCTTAATCAGAATGCACCTTATCAAATGGATTATTAACCAGAGTACAGATAATATTGCATGATGTGTAACCATATTAAAATGATTTATAGTAATTGCACGCAGTCACACAAGTAGTGCAAATTTGATGTAGAAATGGTGACTTCATTTGTCATCCTTTGTCTCTGAATGATGTTGAAGGCGTACATTTACCCACAGCAAAGGATTGTCAGTAGCGTTACTCCTGATGAAACTCACCTCTTCATATTGTCCCAGAGCCTTGCTGCTAGGCGAGGGACAGCACAAGCAAAGATCCCCGGGCTGCCCAGCATGGCTGGGAGCAGCGTTCCAGGCACTGCCATTTTCATACTTGATGGCATTAGGCAATCCCAGTCATACTAAGTACATAAATGTTGGTGGGTTTTGTGTTGTGTTGCAAACCTCTGGATGCTTTAAATGCAGATGTTGCTGAAAACCAAGTAGTTTGTTGCTTCCTTACCCTTCATCTGCCCCTGCTCAAGTCTGCGGTACTGATTCTCCCCAGACTAAATGGGTTACTTACACCCATGACCTGCACTCCTGGCTGCCAAGGGCATTGCAATGTGAAGCAGGCAAAATAGGGATCAATCAGTTTAGTGGATACTGTGTATCCTTCAATAGACAAGGTAACATTTCGTGTTAGTTTAGAATATTGTTTTTTACTGTACTTACCTGGATGGCAAAGGAAAGACAAGTAAAACTTAAAGCTATGTTCTTTAAATTCTGTATTATTAGCAACCTCTGTTGTATATAGTGTTTGATAATAAAGTATTAATTTGATTCTTATGTCTTTTGTAAGTGAGAACAATAGACTTTCAGGATATTAAAATCACGTGTTGATTACAAGACAGAGCTTTGAAGCATCAAGTGTGATCATGGCTAAGAACTGAGAGAAAAGTGGCCATGACACTGCAGCATACTGGACTCATCTTTGAAAATTGTTCATCTGTTGCAAGACTTCACAACGTCAAGACCTGGAACAACATGACTTTTGATGATCAATGTTTTGTCCTCAGTGTTTAAAGGTCTTATGTTGGAGCCCAGTGGTTTCTGTGTTAGTTTTGTTTTTTTTGTATCATGTTTGTTTCTAAAAAGGCTTTGGGGATATAACAACTTTTCTGTTATTTTGTTTGTTTGTTTCTTTTTAATTTGTATTTTTTTCCTCCTGTTTTTCTTCTGGATTTGTTCCCATGAATAGTTTTTTTCCAGAAGGGATCTTGCCAGTGTCATGTGTGATATATGTATGTACTTGGTTCCAAAAGAACTAGAAACAAATTTGGGAAGTACTGAGAGTAGTTGAGTAGATTGTTTCCTTTCCTCTATAGTTGTGGAAGGAAAATGGTTGTATTTATACCTGTTAATTCCCACCCCTAGCCCTCAAAACTGAACTTAATCCATTGCCTTAGGTGCGCAATGGTTCAGTCACTTTCAGAGGTTTAGAGTGTTAACTCTCCCTCTCTTTTCATTACACTTGGATTTTGTAATCACCAATTTTAATGTACAACCCTCCACACTTCTCTGCCCTCTTCCTGCCCTGCCTCCTCTCCCACTCTCCTCCTTTTTTATTTTGGAGCTGTGAATGGGCAGATCTGTTTCTGGTCTGGCATCACTGAGTTTTTCCCATGCATTCGCCCTTGAGCTTCTCAGATGTGAGACAAATCTCCCTACAATAGGCTTGCTGCCATTGTCTGTACAGTTTAATAGATGCTGGCATGTTGGAGGTTACCCATGAGTCTGCGAAATCCGCTTACCATGCTTACTCTTGACACACCATTGAAGACACTCATTGTGTATGCATCTGGGTATGAAAGTTCAGCTCAGTGTGGTCCTGTGCTTGTACTGCCCTGCTTTGCAGTTTCTTTGCACTTATTCATTGAGTGCTGTTTTTGAAATGCTTACATTATATAAACTTAAAAGAAAATGTTAGAAAAAAAACCCACCCAAACCCCCTGCCCCATAAGATCTGTATTTGTATATACACGTGTCTGTACAACTATACTTAAATAAAATTAAAGATTTTCATCATTTTAATGGGTTTGTTTAGACTACATTTTGGTTTAATTAAGTGCATTTTCATTTTGTGGGCTGTTTGTACCTGCCTTACTCAGAATCATAGGATGGTTGGCTTTGGAAGTGACCTTTAAAGGTCTTGTGGTCCAATGCCCCCACAACGAGCAGGGATATCTTCCACTAGATCAAGTTCCTCAGAGCCCCATCCAAACTGACCTTGAATGTTTCCAGGGACAGGACAGGCAATGAAAGGAGTATGAGTGGGAATGGATGAAAAATGCACGTTATGGACACAACAACTGAGTACGTAGAGCTGTAACTCCAATGTCCTGGCAGATCTCTGCTCTTCACCTTTTTAATGTGTTCAAAGCTCTTCCAAATACTTAGGGGGGTAAGGAGCTGGGTCAGGTAAGTGATGGTGCACTACATGGTTTCTATCATCACTCTGCCCTACTCTGAATCTTGCAAGCGATCTTCCATCCCTGGGTAACAAGTGGTTGTAAAGTACAACTCTTCTTGTAGAGTAGAGCCAGCCCCAGAGTTGTGCAAACAGGGCAGCTGCAGTCCCTCTCTCCCCAGGATGTCTCTCAGACTGGCAAAAAGATGAGGTTGGAAGTGGCTTTGAAATTTTGGCCATATCTTTCTTTACCAAAAAGGCTCAGAGCATTTGAGCCTAAAGAATGGGAGAATTTGACCAAGGGTTCCTCTTGAAGGGAAGGGGAAGAAAAGTGGAAGCAAGAAATTGGATGGCTTTCTCCTCCTCCTTCCTGTCCCCAGAGGCTGATGTAGTAATGCCTCTCAAAAAGTACAGGACTGCATTGGTGTTGACTTGTGTTTAGGTCTGAAATAGTTGTCTTTTGCAGTGTCTGCTCACTACTCATACGATATAGGTTGAACCTGAGAATTTAGGTCATAAAAGGTGGGGAGCACATACCAAAACCTGTAGTACATGCACTGTACATTCAAAACAGCTGTAATTACACTGTGTAAGCATTAAACTCACAGAAAGCTTTTTATATTTTATTAGTTGACAGGGCAGCAAATACTAATTATAACTTATTCTAACCTTTAAAAATGAGAAATGACAGCTCAGTGAGAAGAAAGTGTGTCTGAGTATTTGATACAAAGAATTGATGCACCGTTTTTTTCCTCTGGAGCTGTGATGTTACAACCAGTACAGGGTTAAAAGTGACACATGTTCAGTATGTTTTAACATAATAGTCATGTCCAGA